TGGGTCAGAATTTAACCCCCCTTAAAAGCCGTCTGAGCAAGTTGCAAAGCTGGCACCAAAACTTTTCATGTTTAGTAGGCCCTAATGAACACTTTTACACTAGGTGCTTGCTTTCAGCACGAACTTCACACGGAACACATTTGCTCCCAGACTAAAACAGCTGTTGTATTAGCGGAACCGGTTCTGTCGGCTTGCAAGCCCTTTCCGTTAATGCGTTTAGTAACAAGGGGACTCCTATATTCGCTAGTAGAGTTCCTAAAAACCCACCCTGCTGTGTTTTTGTTGGTTTGATAACCAATCCGCTACCTGTTTGGAGAGCGTTGAGGATATCCTTTTTCTCACCTGCGGACAGTAAATGCTTGTACACAATCAACTGTGCTATTTTATCCTGTGGAATAAGAAAACCTGCCCGTTGTCCCTTTCCAAATATTTTATCCACACCGAGACTGGCCAATCCCGATAAAGCGCCAGTTGAAAGCGCTGTAATGGCCCTTTTAGCTAGTGGCATTGCCACTGGAAACAACTTGCTTCCTAACTTGATTGATGATCCCCACAAACTACCGCTATTGATCTGAGTTTTTTTTAGCATTAATTCATGTGGAAAGGATAACTGATTTCTGGCAAGTCTGATTGTTATTGCTGAATTATTATTGTAAGCTCTCAAAAGCTTTTCCAATTGTCGTTTGCTAAGTGACACACAATAAGGATAATATTTTGTCATTAGTTTTATATAATATATGGTTACATAATTTGCGATCTGAGTATTATTTTGCCATCTTTCTGGATTAGCTCAACCTCTTGTTCGTAGAGAGTCAGTGCGTAAATAGAATAAGCTGTTGCTGTTGTTCCAGATAGCTCACATTTGAATGTCTGTTTGGTGGTGCCATCTTTAATGTCCATTTCCTGTTTTGTTAAATCAAAATATAAGAATGGAAACAGGGTACTAAAATTAGATTTATTGAGTAATGACCCTTCACCATATTCATTATTTTTATGAACATACTTCAACACATCCCTGCAAACACGGGTCCTCTCAGTAGTTGGTGTGTAATGTATCTCGAGGTATTCGTTTCCATTTCCAACCTCCAGATGACAATTGGATAAGGTTCTTGGGTCAGTTGAGACAGAGAATGTATTATACAAGAATGGATTAGCCATCTGGGCATCGATATTTTGCATCATTGATTATGAATACAAACACGTGTTGGGGTTTTGAGATACCAGTTGAAATTCTGAAATGCCCAGCTCTCTGCCGGCTGCTATTTGATCTTTCGATATTCTCTCTCAAGTAAGTCCACTTATGATTTTTAAGATATTGGCTCATATAGGATGATTGGCCCTCACTGTTAAAGGTTATCCGCGGAACGTACAACTGCATGCTGGTGATGACCACCCTGCAATCAGCTCCGGCTTGCCAAATTAGATTACCATCTGACTCAATTTCAAAATTCATTTCAACCCTTGTATTGGGCAACAGCTCATCCTCTAACATTTCAAAGAATGAATATCTGTTCAGTGGTATTTCAGTGTTTACTGTGGATGAGGTACCCAGCGGTGGTTTTCGAAGGGCAAAACCATTACTGTAAGCTGCTCGCCTTTTGGCTAACTGATTTGTACCGCTAACTTCAAATTCCCGCTCTTCCGGATTTCTGGATGTATCAAGGAAGAAAAACTCATTACTTGCTGTTTTTTTTCGGCATAAGAAGGGCTGTACTCAAGTAAATTCTTAATATTAACCGCGTGATTTGCATCATTACAATCATACACTTTCTTGCCATTGAGCTTAATATCAAAATGTTTCAAGAATGAGTACGACCCGTTTACAATACCATTATGATCTTTTCCTGCAATATTACCTCCATTAGACAGCACGTTCACTTTAAAATCGAGACCGATTCAGGCATTATTCCAATCGAATGGTGTAACCTCTCCGCTGTTATCAACAACAAACCCGTAGCTATCATTTTTCTGGTTAGCATTATTGGCAACAGTGTTATTCAGTGCTGTTTCTAGGTCAAAATCGTTCAACATATTTTGGATCCGTAAAAGATTTCATATACTAATAGATATTATTTTTCGTCTGGCCTCCAAATAATAATTGATTTACTCGCTCATTAATCTCGTAATCGGTGAGCTCCTGTTGTGGATTTTTTATCGGTGATGCCGCTACTGGTGTTTATGTGTTTTTATTCTTTTTGCTTAATAACAGAATAATTTTATCGCCCGCTTTTTCGCCAGCATATTCGGTAGTCTTGGTAGTAGCTTTCTGAACGGCTTTTTTGGTTGCTGTTTTAGAATACCTGTAAAATCATGGGTGACATATTTATATGCTCAATGTGGTTTTGGAACTGCAGGCATTAAAAAGTTTAAAGTGAAAATTAGGCTTAAGTTCACAATTTTCCGACTTTTTTTACAAAAGGCCTGTAAGAGGACTTCTTGTTTTAATAGTTAGGCTACATAATTGGTTCTAAGGAATGAAAAACGTTACCTTATTTGGTGTCTGGTGGTGTTAGATCCTGTCTAAGTGAAATGTTTTGATGTGCATGATGAACCAAGTACTAGACCCCAGGGACCAAAGCTTAACCACGTCAGGTTAAGTGATCTCAAAAAAAGATGGGCAACAGCTTCAACAGAGCTGAACGACATACTAGATGACAATGCCATAGAAAAAATGTCTTTACATAGAAAATAAAGGTGAAAGCGGAAAGAAAATGATGAAGATGGAGGTGAAGAAGACAAAAAAATTTATTGTCATTCTACAGGTCATAAAACGCCGTTAATAACAAAACAGGAAGAGGGTAAATTACGATCAAAGTTTACTTTCCAGGTCAGCGGCCCGCCACAGCGACTTTGTGTATCCCTCACAATAGTGTATACATGCCAGGACCATGTGCTGGAAAGTCTGAAAATGGCATCCACAGAGAACGAAGGGCCACCAAAAAAGAACCAAAACGAAGATTTCGCCAAGAATGGAAGAAAGAATTTCCGTGGTTACACTATGATGAGGAAAAGGAGAAAATGTTTTGCACTGTTTGCGAGAAAGCAAAGAAAAAAAATCCATTGGTAGATCCAGTGGTGGATGCAAAACATTCAATTCTCACAAAGCATGCCATGAACAATGACCACAAAGTCGCCCTTCAAGATGCTCAGCTGAGAGGCCAGTTTACTAGGTGCGTGGAAAAAAACAATGAAAACACAGGAAGTGCCATTAATGCATTCTTTAACCCGGGGATTTTATTGTTAAAGAAGAATCTCGTGAATTTGCAGATAAAAAATGGATGTAATGATTTCAAGAATATTACACGTCAGCACCATAGCCATGTTACTGAAATGGTAGAAATCATTTCTGCTTGTATCGAGAGAAAAACTATAAGAATTCTCAGAGAAAGTCCTTTTGTTGGGGTACTCTTAGATGAAACCTCTGACATGAAGAGTTTACAAGAAGCTGGTAATTTTGTATCCAAGTTTAGTAACGCAGTGTTCCAGCCAGAGCGCGCCATTGCGTGAATCCCGCAAAAGATCGAGAGATGGCCCCCAACAAAAGCGTTTAAGGGCCATTATGGCCCTTTCCTTCTTTAATTCCCTAGGCTTAAAAATGCTTCTGTTACTCGAACTACAACAATTTTCCAATTAAACAGACTTTTTAATCTAAAGAACAACAATTCTGTACCTTGTTACACAACATGAAAATCAATCGATGAATCTACGCCATGTTTACTTGATTTACCATGAGTGGTCTGGAGACCATTGAGTCTCGACTTGGTTTTTTTTGAATATCGCAGGTGCATGGCGTCTCGAAAAGGTAAATCGCATCTTGGTCTATCGAAAGTTTTTTCGCAGCAACACAGACAGAAAGTAACGACAAACGGGGTGGTGGCAAAAAGAAAAGAAAGAAAGATCTTGTTGACGGTGAAGCGGAAGACGTAAATGGTGTTCGTATGAAAAAAAATTCCATTCACGTTGGTTGAACGATTTCAGCTGGTTGAAGCATGACAATGACAAGGGTATGCTGTGCGAACTTTGAATGCGTTGTGGTAAAAACCCTTTCACTGTGGGATGAAAGAACTACCGAACATCCGCGTTATCTAGAAATGCAGAAACGTGTGCCCACAAAAACGTGTTGATGGCTGCCATGATGCAAACTGATCTAAAAAAGGCCATGGAAAAAGCCCTCAGTCGACAGGAAGAAGGGATAACAACAGCTCAAAAAGTAGCGTATTGGCTTGCGAAAGAAAATGTGGCTACACGAAAATTCAGGTCATTGATGAATCTGCTATGTCAGACACGTTACCCACACGTTGACAAACGTAGCTGTGGCGAAAATGTTAACTACATGTCAGACCAAGCAGCAGAGGAGGAGGAAGCACGTGCTAAAGTCATTACAAACGAAACAGAGAAAGAGATTCAGCAAAGTAGGTTTTTAAGTGTACTTGTTGATGAAAGTACAGACATTTCAGTTACTCAAAAACTTGTTGTCTGTGTCCGTTTTGTGACTGAGGATTTTCTTCCTAAAACTCGCTTTCTTAAAAATCTGTCAGATGGAAAGGCTGCAACAATACTGGATACCCTGAAAGCTGTTCTGGCAGAAAAACGGTTTCCACATCCTGTACTGAGCAAAGGGTTCAGATTAGGAAGTGATGGAGCTGCAGTTATGACAGGCGTGAAAGGTGGAGTCAGTGGGCTGATGAAAAAGGAAAACCTAATGATTGTAAATGTGCACTGCCTTGCACATCGCCTTGTTCTCTGTACTAGCCAGGCCGCTACTGACACTCCAGCACTCAAGGGTTATCAGCAGATAATCACTGACATTTATCATACATTCAGTCTTTGACATGAATAGATAAGCTTCATACTGGATATTTTTTTAGAAATCCTCCAGCCTACATGAATTAATGACTTTTCCTTATTTCAGCTACCAAAGCTGACATTATACAACTCTCAGCTGCACATGGACAAGATGAATTCAACACCCACATAATGCTAGAGAAGATATCACACCTGGAGCATCACAAGTCACCCAGATTGCAGTGGTAAGAGGAAGACTGTGCCTAAGAGGAAAGCCAGTGGATTCCAAAAGTGCGAAAGAAGGCCTCAAGAGTTTTGTGGAGTGGTTAAAGGCAAAAGAGATGCCAGTAGTGCTGTTTGCTCACAATGCAAAATCATTTGATTGCAAGCGTCTAATATTTTCTTTCCAGAAATGTGATCTTTTAAACTCCTTTCAAAGTTGTGTTGTGGGGTTTGTTGATACGTTAATACTGTTTAAATCAGTTATGCAACAGAGAGAGAAATACTCGCAGGAAAATCTTGTGTCAGATCTGTTGGGCATTTCTTATAGTGCTCATGACTACCTGGAAGATGTCAGGGCTCTTCAGCGACTTCTTTCCTTCAAGGAAGTAAATGAGAAGGCTATTATCAAATCCAGCTCCGCTTTTTTTTTGTTATGTCATCAACAGTACAAAATACTGTTTACACAAGGCTGTCAACATACATAGCCTACAGCCCCTTATTGTTTCCAAAGTTATTTCTAAGGGCATGGGGGACAAAATTGCAGGTTCTGGGCTCACGTTGAGCCATCTAAAGCTTTCAATTCTGTGGGAAGGAAGGGCTCAGAAGTGTTTTGACCGAAAAAGTATGGGAAACCCAAGGTAACAACAACCTCAAAAATAATAGCTGCACTTTTCAGCTACTTAGAAAACATGTGAAGGGAGGTGCTTAATTGATAGGGCATTTTAATACGTGTTAGAGTAGACGTTATGGTTGAATTATTGTATTTTGCAGCGAAAGGTTTGAATCTTTCATTCCAAATTCATAGAAATGAACATTGGTTATTATTTAGTATTTGAAATGTCTCACACTCTACAGTACAAGATTAATGAAGGCCTCAAAAAAAGAGAATTGAGGTACTACAAGTAAACTTAAATTTAATTAGTCGTTGAGTGAAACTGGCCCACACCTTTGGAAGATTCCCTGTTTCACTTAACGAAAGTAAAAAAAATCATAGCACCGTTTCTTGTTTCCCAAGAGGAAAATTTCTTACCTTCTTGATTCCACCTTGAACTGAATCAATGAAATGATGATAACACGAAAGTCTCCTTTGTTCCTCAAAGACTGAGCCGGGTAATTCCACAAATGTCAAAACGCTGCAAAAGTACACTTAGTTGACCGTTGCCAAGTGTAAAAAATAATCAGCACAAAATCGAATCCCTCTTGTTTTCCTTCGCGCCATTCTCACTAAACCGAACCAAAATTAACGCCCTTGACTACTACATCACAGCCAGAAGTAGATTCGAGTCATGCTCCGTCATGTCGCACAACAGCGTGACTTTGGAATTCGATGACAATTCAATCACACTTTACGCTCATAAATCGTTGGTGAACCCTACTTTTCTTTCCAGAAACACATTTTATTTACAATTATCTCTACATTGTCCAAAAATGAAAAAAAAAACAATGTGCGAAGGCAAAAAATTTCACGATTTCTGTCAGCAAGACATCGAATCCTGCCATCATGTGCTGCAAGGTGCGTGAAATTGTGGTCGCTAAATGCAAACTTGTTATTTGAGGAACCTCACCAGTGGACTAAATTCGCTTAATAGGTCCATTTAAACCATATTTGGCAGAGAACATTTCCCTACAAAGATCTAATTGCAATATTTTTGGACTTACAGCCACTGTGACCTTCTTCGCTAAAGAAGACTGATGATTTACTCAGATTTAGGTGTTCTTCCGGGCATGATCTCCCACCCCTTTTTTTACATTTCTGACATCACTAACTCATCGTCTTTCTATGGTAAAATTTTCAGAAAAAAATCAATGTTAGAAGATTTTCGCGCGAATGTCCTTAAGTTAGAACAGCTGGTTTAAAGCCAACATATGTAAGAAATTCTTTTCTAGGCTATACACAAACCTGAACGTGCTGCTTCACTATACATGTTTCTTAAACAGTGCATCACAATGAAAACACGAATTCCCTTGTACTGTATTTTCTTAAACGCGTGGGGTTCACAGACCTGGACCCACGAGCTGTGCCTGTTCGCAGAAAATTACCACGAATTTAACCAACTGACACATTCAAACATTGATAAATACCTGCTGATATTTGAAAATTCCAAAGTTCGCCTCTAGAAGAGTTGTTTTTCCAAATACAGCATCCACAAACATGAAACAGCAACCATTCGCACCATACACGTTGATGAACGCTATGATCATGATAATATGTGATGTGATGTGTGTTTCCCGTGGCTTGATCTTCCTTCCCAGACACACTTGCATGAGAAAACCGGAAATTCCGGTTGTAAATGGCAGTTCTGCCTAGAAGATCCAACTTTTCTCGCGAATATATCACCCCTATAAAAGGTGTTAAGAGGTGCTGCTTTCGTGAAAAATACTTGAAATAAATGTCTTGGGGTTGCATGATGTCTACTTTCCGGTCAAGTTCACTTTTCCTTCAGGCAGGACTGCACTAGGATCTACAGTAGTTCACTCTCATTTACTGGCCACCAGCAGGAATGACTATACGATTACTATATTGAACGTTTTTTTCTTCTAAAAATAAAATCGAAGCTTTCGTGTAAAGAATGGGCGATTTAAAAGAAAATTTTAAAGCGACTTTGCTTTGATAAGGTTTCCAGGGGTTTATATAAATTTTTTATCACCTGAAATCGGTTTTTGTCCTTGTGGCCTAATGGATACGGCGTTGGCCTCCGGAGGCAAAGTCTGTAAAATGTCAGCTTGGCGGATGGGGAATTGTCGATTGAAGGTCAAACTATGCTTATGTCCGCGAAATAGGCAAGGGGGAGTGGGTGGGGGCGTGGGTTATAGCACAGGTGTTACTTATTCATGCACTTTAGCGATGGGTGCCATCTCCTCAAATGAAAATGGCGCAAAAGTAACCCTGCGTAGATTCCATCAGGCAAAAACGGTGGGAAAATGTTTGTGCCGTGCTATAAATTTGGAGGCCTAGAAAGAAAATTTTCACTCGCCCCAAGGAAAATGGCCAGTCAAGGCACAGGTACAGCTTCATTTCTTACACTTTTATTACAGGCAGAACGACAACAAACTTCACAGACTATATTAAATTCCGCGTTCCAGTACATTTAATGATGGGGGTGATTTGTAGAAAATTTTCCCGTGAGAGTCAATTAAACAACAATTGTAAAATATTGTTTCACTCCACAGGGGTCGCCCTGGAAGGGGATACATTTTCCTGCATAAACCTGCCAGAGAACAGCGCATTAATCCAATGCTTTACCGCCACCTTAAGTGATGCAGCAGGCAACCTGGAGAGAACAAAAAAAATGTACGTGGACTCATTGGCGCCCGGAACGGTAAGAGCTATTGTTTTGTTACGCTATACGTCGAGTGTCTGTGCTACAACAACACCGCCTCGATCAGTCTCTCACCAGCCGGTTTTTATTCCTACAGATAAAGTCCATATTTGATGCCAGGAACTTGTTCCTAGCCTGACACAAAGAGGTGAAGGTGGGGGCGGCTGTGACCTTTCCCTTGCAAGAGCTCGATATAAAAGCGTTTTGTGTGGCCTGTGCGAAAACCGGCTTCGCCTACAAAAGAATAGAAAACTTTTCCCGTGGTCTTTGTATGTGGGTAAGTGGTCTGCAAAAGACCTATTAATTAAAATAGAAATACCCATTAGTAAAAACAAAATTATCATGCAATGCACTATTTGGTCGCCTGAAACTACTTTACTTTTGTAACAGGTCAAAATGTCTTCCATAAAATTCAACCTTTTTTTTAATTTTTGGAAGTAGTTCGTCTACCTTTTTAGTGCAGCGATAAAATAAGTTGTATTTTCTATGTTACAGATTAGACAAGTATGTCTTAATACTTAATTCTAGATGAATATATTCATTGCCAAATTACCTAACTCGGCTATAATGATTGCATTGCGCTTGTAATAATCGCACCATTCATCAATGAATAATCTTAAGATGGCCAGTGGACTGCATCGTCTGGAAACATACAACAGTAACAGGCCATGTTGTGGGAGAACGTGCTTCCCCTTTTAAGCCCAATCCAACTCTTACTGATCTGCCGGTGTCCTTCATTTCCAGCAAATTTCCAATGGGCACAACAGCCTAGCTAAACAGTTCCCTGAGTTGGGAAAAACACTTGGCCAGTTCTTGAGAAAGGAAGTGGGGGAAATGGATTCCCACCCCAAAAAGCCAATGTTTGCTCAAGCCTTTGAGCACATTCTTGATACCACTGGCATCGAAAGTCCACCAGCATTGCAACCTAAGTGAATGAAATGGCAATCCTGTGATACATTATATGCCACTACCTTTTTAGAAATAAACTTTTAAACCTCGATATTTCTCGCCATATATATTTTTCTTATTGGCGTGTGTTCAAGGAAGAAAGCTTTTATTAAAAAAGTGTTATAATTATGTATTGTACAATTGATGTATATTCACCTCAGACGATTATCATGTGATGGTTGAACATCCTTGTTGAAATATCCCATAATTATTATGACCTAGAGAGAAAGGATTCAAAACTCAGCACTGAGATTTGACATGGCATGCAATACATGTTCCTTAAAAGGACATGCAGACGTAAATATAAATTCTACAGATATGTAAGTTCAAAAATGTCTGGTAATGAGTATGGAAGACTAAAAATAGAGACATGTAGGAAGCATTACATAACTTATGCCCTCTTCTGTTTTCCAGTATCTTTCCTTCACAGTTTGTCTGCCCACTGTCGGGCCAGAGCTGGCACTATCGTGCAGACATATTCTACCCCTCAATATAGACATCTCAGGGACGACATGGGTTTGGGGGAGTTTCCTCTTTCCCAGGGCATCAAAGTTGGAGATGTCATGTTCAGGTACCCTTGTTAAATAGTTACTAATCTGACATAAACTAGCAAAATTGGCTACTTTCCGCTTTTGGAGCATATCACGTTTTTGGACCTTGAGACTCAGCATGCACATACCAATTTCCGGCTGTTTTAGTCACTTACAAGTTTCCACTGCAATGAAGCAACGAATCAGAATAAAATGCACTCAAACGTAAGAACTCCAACGTTTTGTCTGTTCATCCCAGGAAACCTCAGAAAAGTCTCTAATAATACTGAGTTGAGTTTCCATGCATAGCCATAAAAGGAATTTCCATTTTTGGGGGTAGAGGTACATCAACATTGACCTCGACGTCACAACCACAAGAGGGTCATGGTGTTACCATGAAGGTTGTTTTTCGCCATGAGAAACCTGACGCAACCAACATGTCCCACAGGTAAGGATTAATTATGATCCTTTGGAAATTATCAAAGTTTACTTACAGTTATTAATGCGAACGGTCTCCATAATATATGCACCTCCAAATATGAGTCAATCAAAACGGACCTTTGGATAATGTACGTGAGAGAGAGAAAGAGAGAGAGAGGCTGGATTTAGACAAAAGTTTTATCAGCTAAAGCAGAGTAACATTGCATGAAATATGTATATGTTTATCAGTGGATAATAAGGTGTGCAAAAAGAAAAATATAATTCTAAAACTAGGTATTACCCTTTGATAAAATAGATCTAAGCTTGGATTACAATGCTGCAACAGTCAAAGTACGGTTGGATAAAAGAGTTGAACATTGTTTGCACGGTCCATGGAGGAACAAATTGTCTTGCACACTTAAGCACTCCTACATCCTACAGACAATAATTCTGCTTTTGTTCTGTTAGCAGCCGCTGGGCCTATTTTCGGTAGTGTCGTTCGCTATTACATTCTTCCCATTGTTTAAAGAAAACTTGATTTTCAAACCATATTTCTATTTATGCATAGTCGAGTCTTCACATACACAGCCCTAGAAGATGGAAGTCCATAATGCCCCGTTGCCTTGGGTTTCTTACACTTCGCCCGGCGCGGGGTATTTCTGAAGACTCCCCGCGAGGCCTGGGAAAGGCAAAATTTCCAACTACGAGAAGGTGTGGCAGACTGGCCTCTGTTTTGCCAGACCATACTCTCAAGGTGAGATCATACATTTACATATCAGTGTACTTGTTTGGGACAAAAGAACGTGATATTTATCCCTCCTATGCTATTACACTAATATTACATGTTAACCACGTGTATAAAATTGAGTGATTGGATCACATCTTCCTAATAGAGCTGTCGGGGCAAAGGTGCCCAATTTTGGAAGGGGGGAAGGGAAGATGGTAGGGTTATTCACAATAACTTTTTGTTCGGTGCATAATGATGTGCTTTTTTTTAACCTGTTCATATTCAGCCAGAACAGCTCAATAGTGTACAACACGAACAATGATCCAAAATAGTGTCCTTGATGCGGGATTCGATGTGCGGGATCTGTCACACAAATCCTACAGATCTGTTAGTACACCTGTGAAACACTTACATTCGGCAACTGTAATCATTCAAATCTCAAAGCCAGAACGTGAATCAGGTGATTGCAAGTAACGATGCCACTTGTTTATGGATTTGTCTACACCAGTTCTATGCAATACAGTTTGCAGATGATGAAAGGGTCTCATAACAGTCAATAACTTACATTAATGTCCAGTTTGCACAATGTAAAGCTCAAGTTAGTCACATACCTTATTTGGGCACACATGGTTTCCTAGACTGGGTGTGCAATCACACTCTTGTTCCTCTTTTAGGGCTTTGCAACAAGATTTGTCCTCACGGCCGCCATGGAGAATGGCGGCTATTTCTCCGACAATCAGGTGGACCAGCTTCGTCCCCTGGGGGGCTGGTCTGTCCAGTCAGGCGTAGTGCACATCTACGTCAAAAAGATCATAGAGCAGTACTCGGACAGTGCTGGTCTACTAACTCCTGGTAGGTATTGATTGAAGTTGCACACGAGAATAAGAGAAAGATAGGGACTGTGATTAACTATGAATTCCATGTTGAGAGCATAGCTTTCTAGGGACAACACACTATACATCTGGTTAGAACAGCATTAGTCAAAAACGATATGAATTTTTTGTCAAGGTTCCTTTAATGGTGTTATGGCCCCAAATTTCCAAACAGATGTCCTGTTGGTTGGAGCAATACCATTTCAAATTGCAGATTGCAATAAGGTTGGAAATGTAATCCGTTCAAAGTTTATTGGGATGCCCATTAAATTTAGCTCATCCATACACAAATGCAGATGTGCTCTTGATGTCATCACGAAATGAATCACTTGCTAGCAAGAAGTGCATGTGCCTTTTCTTATTGCAATATTTGAGGAAAAACTGTTATTCATCAGTGTAAGTAATAACATTGCTTTTCCCTTTAAAGGATTACGAACCCCTGAGGAGAGGGTGCAATTCCTTCAAAACATCCTGACAGCGTTTAATGTTAGGTTGGAAGCTCCCCTCAGGAACCTGAAAACCCAGGCCGATGCAGAGGAAGAGTATCCTGAGGAATTTCAGGCATTCCTCGACAACTACGAGCCACTGAGGAAGGCACGAGGTGAGTTAAGAATTGCCAATCTCAGTAAATAACTTTGTCAATAATCCGGAAAAAAGCATCTACAATCCTCATCACCTTAAGTTCAGATGGCTGGGCGCAGCATCCATGTTGCATGAACAAGTTGTGCTCCTCCTCTTCAAGTGATGGCAACTCGCCAAAACCATTTATTTAGAGGGGGGCAGAATATCACTTCTGTTCCAAATAAGGTGACAAGTTTGCTGTGTTTTCACCATCGCACCTTTAAAAATAAAAATGCGAAGCAGTTGATGCAAAAAGTGCAGAATCTGGGAAATGAAAGGAGCTAACTGTACAAAATGCCTTGCCAAGAATCAGGTCTGTGCGGTTATTCATAGCCAAGATATTCAGAGAACATTTTGCTCAAATTTGACAGCTTTGTACGGAGATGCTATGTTTGTTTGCCTTTGAAGGACAGTCATCTGGCAGCTGGGAACCAACAGAAACATCCACTCTTGAGTTTTCAAACTTTGGCGTGAATTTATCCCTTGAGCGACTCATGAAGATTAAATTCCATTGAAACACAAGGAATGACCAGAGAGCAAAATGTCAAAAAACCAGTAATGGTTTTAACCCACATTCATAGCAGCTTGGACAGTGGCCAACAGCATCCGAAGGTTGTTGGGTATATTTGTACCTCCTCATTGAAGTAGCAACTTAGAAGAATAGATAGTTTCTTAGTTTGAATTTTGTGGAAGTCCTGTGAAAACCTTTTTACAATTATTACTGACTGCTTGCCAGAGTTCAAAGGACACAATCCCTTCATCACCAAGGTGATAATGTCCTCATCGATGTACTGATGTTTATGAAATTTCTTTGGCAGAGGAAAACAAGGCACAACCCACCATCAATCATCTAAAGGCATCTGCCTCCAGAGTTTTCTGCCGGCAGAAAAATGAAGCACCCAACGACGCCAGAAAGAAAGAGCCACCTACTCCACCTAAAGAGGTAAATGTAAGCACTAAGCAAGGGCAAATCATAAACAGGATTTTTCATACCTTTTTGCTCCGCCTGATTTAGTCTGTCTGTGATCCAATCAACTTGTACTGCTTGGAAATCTGTCTTGTGTACCTTTGACCCCATTGTCTGAGAACTGAAACTAAGAAATTGCACCAGAGAATATATCTTATGTTATAACAATCATGTGAAAATAACATTGAATAACAAGCCACGGCAAGGGAACTGTAAGATAGGCAGCAAGAAAATATTGATGTGCTAGGCTCATCGGTGTGTTTGCACTCTGACATGCAATAATGCAGGTGTACACATTTTACTCAAAATCTGCACAAATTATGCGTCCCCAATTATTTATCAAGATAGGAAATACAAACAAGTCAGAGAACACTAAGTATGACAGATACACTTATGACAGCATTTTGATGCAATTATCATTTTTATAATGTGACTGTGTGATCTCCGTTTAGAAAACAACACGTCGTCTGGACATTGTGGCCATCTGCAGCACATGGCAACCAGCCATTCATGAGGACACTGTCCACCTGGACCCAAGGTGTAGGTGGACACCCCGCACTGAACACGTGGGCCTTTTTGGCTTTGCCAATCCGTTTAAGCGTCCCTTTGCCGAATGTGATGCCAGGTGCCAGGGGGCCGACAAATGTGCAGCGCACATTAATGACATGAAGCACCCAAAGAGAACCCCAGAAGACTCGCCCCATTGGGATTGTGTTGGTAGGTGAAATATAATATAGCTTCCGTAACATTGAAGAAATGACTTAAGTGACCATTTGAGATAACTGATGAGATAGCAATAAGGGAAGAAGATCAATAAATGATATATTTCAGAGGATGATCTCCATTCCTTCCACAATCTTTATAATGGGGACGAATAATGCTTGTTGAAGAATGAAATTTAATGTTTGAAGTCACAGCTGGGTTGGATAAAGATTGGTCAATTTCAAATCAAAGACCTCCAAATATAGACTAACCACTAATTTACTTTCATGTGCAGTAGGTTATTAGTAACACGTTCCAGTATGACATGCATGGCTCAGTTTATCCAACCATAAATCACTAGCAACAGTCGAAGAAGAAAAGATTATACTATATGAATGGTCATTTAATTGCATGGAGTTTGAATCTGGATTGGATATTTCACCTGTCAATAGAAATTGACGTGCATTACTGTATTTCTTTTGCAGCTGATGACAAAAAGTTCACATCCCTTGATGGACTACGTCTTCACATTAATACAACACATTTACCAAAGCGTCTGAGATGTGAAGACTGCAATTATAAGACCAACAGCGCAACACATCTTAAGAGGCATGCGAAACGACAGCACAACATTGCCAACTTGCATGTTAAGCGGTGGAAGCACAAGCAATAGAGAGATTGGGAACCACGCAGTGGCAAACGTGAACTTGTAACCAAGTTTTCCCTTTCTCCTTCTTTTTGGGCTCAAAAGTGTGACACATTTTTGGCTAGCTTCCCAGAAGTTTTATCCAAAGAAATAAGTTCATCTTTAAATCTTCACTTTGGAATTTATCAACTACAATCAGACGTTTGCCAATGTGCAGAAATGTGGAACTAAATCTTGGGTTATTCAATACCTGATTACAGTGAAACCTGTATTAAGCGGACACACTCGGGGAATGCTGTAGTGTCCACTTAATACAGGGTGTCCGCCTAATACAGGTTTCAATAGATACTGTCATATGAGGTGTCAAATCCCATTCAAATAAACAGTGGAAACGTTTACAATACTCTCAGAGACTATGATGATATACGTTTGCATTAATTTCTTTATCAAAGTGAACCAATTGATCATAGTAACATAAACATAGATTGCAACTCAAATTTGAAGAAATCAGATGAGTGAAACAAGCTCTGTACAAACAAAACTAAATAGACGACAATACAGTACGGTGAAACTAATCAAATAAGTTCGTCAACTCAAGTCTTTAAACGTAAAAATCAAAAAAATTGTGGGTGGCAAATCGAGGCAAATATAATTCTAAAACTAGGTATTACCCTTTGATAAAATAGATCTAAGCTTGGATTACAATGCTGCAACAGTCAAAGTACGGTTGGATAAAAGAGTTGAACATTGTTTGCAGGGTCCATGGAGGAACAAATTGTCTTGCACACTTAAGCACTCCTACATCCTACAGACAATAATTCTGCTTTTTATTCTGTTACTAGCCGCTGGGCCTATTTTCGGTAGTGTCGTTCGCTATTACATTCTTCCCATTGTTTAAAGAAAACTTGATTTTCAAACCATATTTCTATTTATGCATAGTCGAGTCTTCACATACACAGCCCTAGAAGATGGAAGTCCATAATGCCCCGTTGCCTTGGGCTTCTTACACCCCGCCCGGCACAGGGTATTTCTGAAGTCTCCCTGTGAGGCCTGGGAAAGGCAAAATTTCCAACTACGACAAGGTTTGGCAGACTGGCGTCTGTTTTGCCAGAAGGACAAGTCTACCCACACTCTCAAGGTGAGATCATACATTTACATATCAGTGCACTTGTTTGGGAGAAACGAACGTGATATTTATCCCCCCTATGCTATGACACTAATATTACATGTTAACCACGTGTATAAAATTGAGTGATTGGATCACATCTTCCTAATAGAGCGGTTGGCGCGAAGTTGCCCATTTTTGGAAGGGGGGAGGGGAAGATGGCAGGGTTATTCATAATATCTTTCTGTTTGGTGCATAATGATGTGCTTTTTTTTTAACCTGTTCATATTCAGCCAGAACAGCTCAATAGTGTTCAAACACGAACAATGATCCAAAATAGTGTCCTTGATGCGGGATTCGATGTGCGGGATCTGTCACACAAATCCTACAGATCTGTTAGTACACCTGCATCTTTCTCCGACTTTAGTGGCCCTACAGATACCTGGACTTAGACAGTTGTGAAACACTTACATTCGGCAACTGTAATCATTCAAATCTCAAAGCCAGAACGTGAATCAGGTGATTGCAAGTAACGATGCCACTTGTTTATGGATTTGTCTACACCAGTTCTATGCAATACAGTTTGGGTCTCATAACAGTCAATAACTTACATTAATGTCCAGTTTGCACAATGTAAAGCTCAAGTTAGTCAAATACCTTATTTGGGCACACATGGTTTCCTAGACTGAATGTGCAATCACACTCTTGTTCCTCTTTTAGGGCTTTGCAACAAGATTTGTCCTCATGGCCGCCATGAAGAATGGCGGCCATTTCTCCGACAATCAGGTGGACCAGCTTCGTCACCTGGGGGACTTGTCTGTCCAGTCAGGCGTAGTGCACATATACATTAAAAAGATCATAGAGCAGTACTCGGACAGTGCTGGTCTACTAACTCCTGGTAAGTATTGATTGAAGTTGCACACGAGAATAAGAGAAAGATAGGGACTGTGATTAACTATGTATTCCATATTGAGAGCATAGCTTTCTAGGGACAACACACTATACACCTGGTTATAGCAGCATTAGTCATAAACAATATGAATTTTTTGTCAGGGTTCCTTTAATGGTGTTATGACCCCAAATATCCAAACAGATGTCCTGTTGGTTGGAGCAATACCATTTCAAATTGGAGATTGAAGTAAAGTTGGAAATGTGATCTGTTGAAAATTTATTTGGATGCCCATTAAATACAGCTCATGCATATACAAATGCAGATGTGCCCTTGATGTCATCACGAAATGAATCACTTACCAGCAAGAAGTGCATGTGCCTTTTCCTATTGCAATATTTGAGGAAAAACTGCTCTTCACCAGTGTAAGTAATAACATTCCTTTTCCCTTTAAAGGATTACGAACCCCTGAGGAGAGGGTGCAATTCCTTCGAAACGTCCCGACAGAGTTTAATGTTAGGTTGGAAGCTCCCCTCAGGAACCTGAAAACCCAGGCCGATGCAGAGAAAGAGTATCCTGAGGAATTTCAGGCATTCCTCGACAATAACGAGCCACTGAGGAAGGCACGAGGTGAGTTAGGAATTGCCAATCTCCGTCAATAACTTTGTCA